TATTATTTAACTCTTGAGGATTGATGAATTCATTTATTCTTTATTATTTCTCACTTCCCCATCTACCTTTAGAAGTTATATAATATCAGGACCCCAAACCCTGGCGAAAGGGTTTGAAACATTTGGAGGAAGTGTGTATGTCAAACTTGTGTGAGGTATCTTGTGTACCGCCGGTGGATTCAGCTCCTCAAAGCAGTTCAGCCAAGGACATAGTTTCCTTCAAATGGAAATATACAGACTCAGAAAAGCAATTATTACTTGTAGGAAGCCTTTGTTTCTCTCATATTGTATAGAGGCTTTTGATGAGTAAGTGGAACAGAGAATGTTAAGACCTACCAGTCTTAACCTTAAGAACTTTTTTTCTTAAGGTTCACGGTTTGTTTATACCTTTGCATCATTTTTCTCTTTAAATGGGGGAAGAGAGTTTTCTTTTACTGAAAGGTATCTCTTCCCCATCCCAGTTGCAGTTATGATGACAGTATATGAACAATAGAAGGAAAAAAAAGATAGATGTTTGATACTTAGAAGGCAACTTTATGGGTTGATCTTGTCAGTTAATTACAGTATAACAAAGAGCTGTATCTAATTGCCATGTCATCAATTAGATCGCAATGGAAACTGACAGTCTAACTCCCTGGTCTCAGATGAAGTTCTTTTATTGCACAGCTGGATTAGGCAATGTTGACAGCACATGTGTTAAATTATTCCTGGATTGTTGCTCTGAAGTTTGACTAGCACTTGTTAGAAAAGATTTGCAGCATTCTGAGAGAGCCAAACCTAAAAGAAAAAAAGTTCATGTATAATCCCACTAAGTAGATGTTATTTTTCTGGTAAATGGATTTATGCCATCTTTAATGTGAATTCTATTATTTCTTTTGATGAAGGCTTCTTAGTTTTTAGAAAATTAAGGGTGTTTTAATAAATTGAAATTTATTTTTTCAAATTTTGTCCAAAGTAATCATGTAGCAGCAGAATATTTCATGTTTAAACAAACTACCTAATAACAGGGTTCATACTGACATATAATTAGTCACTAATTATTCAAAGTATGTTAATTTTTAGGTTAGCACTTTACATGCAGGAACTTGTGTTCTTAATGTAGAAAGAGTCAGTGTCAGGGGTACTAACACCAAGGATCTTGTATTTCTGCTTATGGAGAATTGGTATCTCTGGTATAGTAATGCTTACTATTTTTGTTGCTTTTGGTTTAAAATTTATTTATAGTTGATTTTGCACTGAGATACTGAGGTGTGCTTTAGGGACTACTTAGCAACTGTTCTGGCAGGTGTACTGGTTTCCACATAGAATGGGTGGTATTTCTATAGCAGGTGTAGATATTTTAACTATCTGTGGTCTGAATGTGCATGCAAGCCCCATGTACCTTGAAGGCAGGGAAACAGATTATTTCAGGTTTTAGAAAAAAAGCAGAAGGTGAACCAACTGTATTTATTTACAATTCAGTTTAAGTAACATTTCTTTCAAAGTATTAGAGCTAATAGTGAAAAGTTAACATGTTAGGGGAAATTGTTATGATGAGCCCCAAGAACCCTCCGAGCTGTTGGGCCAGAAATGAAGGCTACTTAGACACAGGCAAGTAATGAGGCAATTAGTTTCAATTAAATTGGCTAATGCATGCCAGTCCCATCAGCCGTATTCTTTTGAACAGTCAGCACTGCGCCTTGAAGCACCAAATTCTCTCTTACAGAATTGGAATAAACAAGGCAATCACAAAGGGGTGATATTTTTTGGACTATTGTAGCTGCTTACAAGTCAACTATGATTACTAGAGCTGGAAATACAAAGTTGGCAGTTGGTTAGTTTGAATGGTAATTTAAGGCTAGAGAAACTACTCCAACAGTCCACAGGAATTTGTCGCAGTTGGTTTGAAAGTTTGGCAGGTAATATTTTTGGTTTTGAGTGCATTAAAAATGTCTGTTGTTAAAAATCAGTACAAAAAGTCTGATGTTTTTTGCATTGCCATCTAACAAGATATTCTTAGTAATAGTGGGGGTAGGAGTGTCTTTTGGATTGCCTACTGTAGTTGAAAACACCTATGAAATATTGCAAATTGTCTTGATTAATTGAACTTTTGGGACTAAACTTTCAAATTTGTTTGCATAAGTTATTACTTCTATATATAGGTATATGTAGATTATAAATTGATAATTGTACTGTGTGCCGATTCAGAGTATACCTACACTACTGGGGTGTGTTAGCAGCGGTTCCCAATCTGTGGTATGGTACCACCAGTGGTATGCAAATAACCTGTCAGTGGTACACGTTAACAGATTTATTGTAAGTACTTTATATGACAAAAATTGCTGGTGGTACTTAAGGTTGAACTGAAAAATTCACTGGTGGTACTTAAGGTTGTATCGTTTTAAATTAGTGGTGCACAATCTGTTGGAGTTTGGGAAGTACTGTGTTGGAGAGTACCACAGGGAAGCACATCACATTCATTCAGTGCTTGCTAAATGCTGAATAAGTGTTGGGCGTAGGTCAATAAACACTGTTTTGGTTGTGCTTATTAGATCAGTACTGGGCACATGCCAGTATGTATACACAGTACTAAGAGTTAATTGGCATGTGTGCAATGCCTTTTTATCGTGGCTACATGACATCTGTTTAATGCATAGGTGAAAGCTACGTAGGCATGTCATGCTTTATTGTGGCTGTCCTTAGTATCCCTCGTCCAGAGGTGGCAAAACACAAGAATCAGAGACAAATTCCTTACAAAAGAAATCAAAATACAGACATTAGTATCCAACTGTTGGCACAGAAATTAGAAAATGTGGGTCTTACTGTGTGTCTTTTGGACAGAAAAAATTACTTATTGATTCTTTTGTGTGTGGTGATTCAGTTACTTAGTTTGCAGATATATCTATACCAATGGAAAAGGACTAGAAAAGTTGTTTTTGCACCCCCAGGTTTCTTTTTCTATTTATTATTGATGAGCCATTTGAAACGTTCATCTATAACCAAATGTGTACCTACAACACAAGTGTGAAAAATGAATAGCACCTAATATTATTAATTATTTTATTATCAAAAGTTCTGTTCCATTAATTACAGTAGTCCTAGTTAATTATTTAAAACCTACATTAAGACACATAGTGCAGAATATAGTAGTAGATTATACCGTAGTTGTTTATCTTTTTGAAGTGTTCTTAATTCAGTACTTTCCCAAGTAACTATCAAATCTATTGGTTTGTTAGGTTTGTTTATGGTCTAATATTTTGTGCTAGTAGCAAATGTTGTATTGTAAGGAAGAGATGGGATTCTTTATTTTTGCCCTAAACGAAAGTGAAATATTGGATCTTAAACTGCCACAACTGAGTATTGCCGGATCATTGAAACTTCCATATTCTGGTGGTAAGGAAACCATCTTTTGCTACTGTTTGACATTAAAGATGGGCTTAAATTCATCTGAAAAAAAGGTCTTAAGCTCATTGAGCTTTGGTCAGCATACTTAATCAACATCTCATTTGATTTAGTCAACCCAATTATTACCTCTTGTAGCAGCATCCCCTCTTCCTGTCTCTTTCCCTTTGTATAATCTTTTCTCTTTACCAATCCATTCATAGCATCTGATGGAATAGGTTGTTGACTGTGAAAGCTCATGCCTCTCTGAAAAGTTAGTTTCTAAGGTATTGCCCTGCCCTACCTTCTGTCTGATTTCAAGCTAACATGGCTAGTCACCTTTCTGGTCCACCTATAAATACCAAATAGGCTGTTGGTACAACAGAGAATTTGTAATTCATTTTAAAATGGAATACTGCAGCCTTTGTTGTGATTGTTCAACATGGTAGTCAGGCTGAAAAACTGGCATTTTATTTCTCCTTTTTAACTTTTTTATTCAGACAAATTTAGAAAGAGAGCTCCAGCACTGGAATAGTGCTCAAGTTAGGATTATTACATACTTTCAAAAGAAAAAATATACAATTCTCCTAGTGTGTTTTAAATATCTGAACTTTTTTTAAATAAGCAAAATATTTATCATAGCGAAGTCAAGCTTATGGTTTTCCTTAACATTTTGAAGTACCTAATATTCTGAAGTAAGTTCATACTTTCAGTGCTAGACATGATGATCCTTGCTGTATGTGCTGTTTTTCAGCTCTAAATTTCAATCCACAAGCTCAGTTGTCCTTCTTGCTGTTATGTCATTCCCTTCTGCTTACTCAAGTGCTTTTCCAATCACCTTATCAGATATTTTTGTCAGTGCCCCCAATACTGAATGAATATTGCCCTGTATGTTTCTCTCATTTGCTATTTTGCAGAGTTGAAGAGTCTAGTCTGATATAAGCCATACAACAAATGTTTTAAAAACATCTCTTTTATTATAAAGAAAATCCTATTACTATACCTTTTTAAAATAAAAAGTTTTCAAAACATACCTATCTAAAGCTTCTCAGATGCTAAATTAAGTAAGGCACTCACAGCTTATAATAGAAAATATGATTTCTCTTTTGAATGCCATGCTCATTCTTTGACTATAACATGCAATCTAAAGCAAATTGCTCTGTAGAAATTGTGCCATGTGCTTGTACTCTTATATTCCATTGTTCTCTTGAGATTTTCTTTACAGAACAGTAACTCAAATTATAATTTTTGTCTGATACAGAAAATCTTTCTTGGAAACAGGCTCACAAGAAATTAGTTTCATGGCAAACTACATGATGTCATATGGTATCATAAAGGGTTCAGAAACAGAATTGTGAATGGAGTTTTATTCCACTTGAAGTTATTGTTGAGTATAAGTATAGAAAAGATGGGTACAAATCAAACAAATTTGGTCTACTTTACTGCACATCGACATGGCACAAATAGTAATGAGACTGACTTCCTTATGACAGAGCTAATTTATGAGCAAGTTAAATGCCATTTGAAATTTAAAATTACTGATATAGGCACAGGTCATTATTTTTTACGATCATATATGCTTTGACATTGCTGCAGTAACCCTGAGGGTTTGATGGAATTCCCTCCAACTCTTTTTACAGAAGGTGAGGAGACGGGAGTGATGGATAGTCTGCTGGAGGCCTTGCAGTCAGGTGCTGCTTTCCGAGACCGGAGAAAACGAATACCGAAGCCTCAAGGTGAATATTATACCTGTTTCATGTTACTTTCTAGAGACTTATGACACGGAACATTTTTTGTTTAAAAGCATCTCAAGTCCAGTGCTGCAGGCTACAACTCCTTAAAGTGCCAGGAGCCTGCTTAATACTCTTCTTCCAATGACATATTTCTCAGAGATGCTCATTCCATTTGGCTCATGTCAGTACTACTTTGGAAATGAGTGTACTGAACTTAACATAGCCTGAATATTATGACAAGACTCTTCTATAGAACCATATGCACTTCATCTCTTTGGGGATTATAGTAGTGTAATTAAATGGGAAGTCAAAGTCATGACTTTCTCCACTGAGTCAAATATTTCACTGGTACTAAACAGTGCTCTGCTCCCAGAAGTAAAACCAAAAACAAGCAATGTATTAACATCTCTGAAAGTTATGTATTACATTTCTTTTGTTTTCTTGCTTTTACAGACATACCGCAAAATCTGAGCCCAACCACTCAGAGGCCCATTCTGAAAGCTTGTAACCATGGTAATAACCCATATTCATAAATTGCATGCTCTTCTTATCTCAGCTTATCTTGTTGATCTGTGCTTTCAGAAGACTGCAGTGATATTTTCAGTTTTCCATAGTATTGGAATAGTGAAATGAAGTATTGGAACTTAGCTGTTTAAGGATAATCTGCCTACTGTATTGCATCCTTAAAGTGATCACATGCCAGACTGATCTATTCTTTGCTCTTCATTTTAGTTTTCATTTTGTTTTAGCGATAGAATTTCGCTGTGTCTGCTAACACAGTTGCAGCAAAATATCAATAATGATGGATAAGAGATGTATTTGCCTTCACCCCATTTATCTTCATTTGTCAGTTTTTTTTGAATAGCAGAGTAGCAGCAGGGTAGACCCTACTAACATTGTATTAGGTATTAATTTGATAAAATAAAAGTAATATCGTATCAGCAAAGTGACAACAAGCTAAGTGACTGCATATAAGCAAAGTGACTACGACAGTGTCACAGAAGACTTCATGATCAAATATTGTTAATAAGCATGGCCCGGAGGTAATTTATTTATTTGCTTAAATTATATCCATGAATTGCCCAGTGACCTGGATGGGAACTACTTAAATGCTTAAACTTAGTCAGGATCCAGGGTCCTTATTTTGAATGCCTGCCTTGTGTTAGATAATAAACATAATGCTGTTACATTCTTGTTAAGTGTACAAAGAAGAAAAAAACTTGTTTTCAATCACTGAAATTAGTCATCTCAGTATGAAGTTTTCATACTTGGCATCATTCTTAAGCATTTTTAAGTGAAACTTGACAAAATGGCCTTGGCATTTTTTGTTAATTTTTTTTTCATCTTTTGGTGGGGAAATGGCTAAGATAACTACTCAAAATAAATGGTAAAGGGGATGCCATCAGAGCTTATTGAGGGTTTAATTATTCTTATGTTAGTCATTATTTTTCTTAAAACATCTGTAACAGGAAAGGACTTATGGGCAGTCAGAATTTAAATAATTATTTGTTAGTGTCATTGAAGTAAAATGTTCATAATTGATTATAGAATTGTTACTCTTCACAATTATTTTTGGTTGAAATATACATTTCTGCATGAAAATGGTTTTTTTTCTTTTCAGTCAATTGTACTCTGTCCGATGTCATGGTGTCATTTTCTAATTGGAAAGGATATTTCAAACATGAGTTGTAGTTTTTTCAGCGTGAGAACTTTACATTCTGAAAAAAATTATTTTGATTTAAGGATCCGACAGGTACAATAAGCAGACGGGATGAAATTCATGACTAAGGATTTGACATTCATTTCAAATATTTGTTTAGGAGGTAAAACTTGTTAATCCAACTCTAAGTTTTAGTTTGCAGTCACTTTCCTACTTGTTACTAAATTTTTGTTTTAAAGCGAAGTCAGAGTTATTTTTCTGTATTATCAGTTCTGGAAAAGGACAAGAAAACTGTAACCCCACTTCTAATAGATTATGGGTAGGGGTGTACTTAATTTGTGGTTTCATGGAAACTGTGAAAAATAGCAGAAAAAAATCACTAGGAAACATTGCATTGGCCATGATTTTCCATGAAATAAACCTAACCCCCCCCCCCCCCG